AAGCATGGCCGCCACCGTACCCCGTACACACCCACCCACCCATCCATCCAACTAACACACGTTTTTCTCTCCCCGTGTGTCTACCGACGCAGGGGTGGATAGACAACTACAACGGCCCCACCGGTATCTTCGTGGGCATCGGTAAGGGACTGCTGCGCTACATGATGGGAAGCATGGCCGCCACCGTACCCCGTACACACCCACCCACCCATCCATCCAACTAACACACGTTTTTCTTTCCCCGTGTGTCTACCGACTCAGGGGTGGATAGACAACTACAACGGCCCCACCGGTATCTTCGTGGGCATCGGTAAGGGACTGCTGCGCTACATGATGGGAAGCATTGCCGCCACCGTACCCCGTACACCCCCACCCACCCATCCATCCAACTAACAGACGTTTTTTCTCTCCCCGTGTGTCTACCGACGCAGGGATGGATAGACAACTACAACGGCCCCACCGGTATCTTCGTGGGCATCGGTAAGGGACTGCTGCGCTACATGATGGGAAGCATGGCCGCCACGGCCGACATCATACCCGTCGACATCCCTGTAAACATGATGATCGCCATCGCGTGGCAGACTGCCGTCACGAGGTACGTACGCGAGGGTGAAACCTGCGTATAAGGGTTGCTCGAGGAACGTTTACACTATTATAAGAGTGAACTGAGAGGCTGAGTTACCTTATACGTGATAGATTACGTACGCGAGGGCGACACCTGCGTATAAGGGTCGCTCGAGGAACGTTTACACTATTATAAGAGTGAACTGAGGGGCTGAGTTACTTTATACGTGACAGATTACGTACGCGAGGGTGAAACCTGCGTATAAGGGTCGCTCGAGGAACGTTTACACTATTATAAGAGCCAGATGAGGGGCTGAGTTACCTTATACGTGACAGATTACGTACGCTAGGGCGAAACCTGCGTATAAGGGGCACTCGAGGAACGTTTACACTATTATAGAGGTAAACTAAGGGGTTAAGTTACCTTCTCTACGTCACAGAGTATGTACACGGGCAAACCTCAAGGTCACTAGGGTACTCCTAGATAAGGGCCTTACAGATAAGGGTCATTCGTGCGACCTTTATCTAATGGATCAAGTTACCCATAGATTAACCTACTATTACATGTATTTGTATATATATATATATAATAATATATTTTATCTATAGATTAATACTATAGATACATATATATTATAGTACGTATAACGCAGCAAGAGTGAATAATAGAGATATCTATCTAGTCTGTATATCACAATTTCCTTTATCCACTCATTGCTGCCAGCTCTTTCTCATAGCGTGGTTCCGATTCGGGTTCGGTTCACTTGACGGGATATGTTTGGTTTTTCGCAGGCCTGAGAGAGTGCACGTATTCAACTGTACGTCGGGACGGACCAATCCCGTATCGTGGGGAGAAATAGGTACGTCAACGTAATGCGTCGCAATCCCAACGACAACACGAACACGTAATGTTGCAGTGGTTCGGAACGAATCGCGTACGCGTCGCGTCGCGTTCTCTCGTACGACCGAACCAAGATGGTTCCTAAATGTCGTTGTAAATGAAATGTCAGAGTAAATGAAGGTCACCTTGGCGAAAACGCTTCACGTTCGAACGCGAGAGTGCGTGCAAATATACACGTAATGATAGTTGCTATATATGTGAATATACGTACCGAGGGAATGTAGTAGATGAGCGGTAGTGAATAACGGTCGAACGAATGTGAATGCACTTGACAGTCGCCGCGAATATACGTACTGAGTGAATGTGGGAGATAAGCGAACGGGAATAACGGTTGAGCGAATGCACGTGCGAGTCGCTGCGAATGTTTTTTTTTTGCAGAGACCATGATCGTGAAGAGCGTGACGAAGAATCCGATAGACAAGGTCTTCCGGGTCCCCAGCGCACGCTTCACGGCCTCACCGTAAGTTCACGGTCGCGCATCGCCGATGTGCCGATACATGTATGGGGATGCGATTTGCTAGCGGCTGAGATCTTACCAACCGTAAAGATGTGTGCTTTTTGAAAGAATTTTCTTCTTGACTTCAATTAACTAATTCGAATAAATTCTTCGAATACTACTTTCAAATACTTCAACAACAATACTAACTTCTTCTAACTAACTCAAATAACCTCTTCAAATACTTCAACTACTTTTGAATTCTTCAACAACAATGCTAAATTCTTCTAATTAATCCAAATAACTAGTTCATTAGCTTCAATTAAGTTGCAATCAAGGGTAAAGGGTTACGTAATCATACGTTCGTGAGACATGGAGAACGGCTGTTTTGTTTCTACACGCTTTGTGTTTTTATTTGCTCCTGATATGTTGATACACGTACACCAATATGCTGCTGTGCTGTGATGTAGCGGGTTTGCAAATTTATTATTCATTCATATATTATTTATTTATTTATTAATATTTTTTATTAATGACTAGCCATTGAGGTTGAAGGATTAACATAAATTGTTAGGGGTTAGAGAGGGGGCTGTTCTGATTATATTTTGCAAGCTTGTCCGTCATTCGTCACAATCTGTCACGCTTCATGCTTCATTTTGTGGTATATGTGTGCAGGTGGTGGTTGCTATAATTTTAATTGCATTTTGTGATTTCAAGTAGTCGTATAGGTTAGTTAGTGGTGATTGTTACGTTCTAACGTGCTAACATTTCAGACTGTGGTATGGGTTGGCGGTAGATGTTTCACACTGTCACACCTTAAATTTTCAGACTGTGGTACAGGCTGGTGGTCATCTTTGACCACTATCTGCCAGCCTACATCTTTGATCTCGTGACGAAATTCATCGGCGGAAAACCAATGTGAGTGCATTTCAATAACATGACCCGTACTTCTGTTTTCCTGCGTGCTTTTGAAGTCTGAATGTTCGTGTGTTGGTTGTACGTGTTACTAACTAGATTTGTAGTGTAGTAAACGTCATAGTGTTGTCACTAACAGTGATATGTTTGTAACGATGTGTAATGATGATGACACGTAACGTGATTATGTAATAGGGAATGAGACGATGAAACTGAAACTGAACGATGCAATGGTTCTGAAACAAGCGAGCCTATTAAATTTCTGCAGGTTGCGTTTGAAAACTATAAAAAATAACATGCAGTACAAAACATACAGTACAAAACACACGCAGAGCAAATCCCGATATAATCATCGATCGATTGTAGTGAGTAATGTGACTGTCTGCATTTTTCTTACAGTTTGATGCGAATCTATGATAAGATTCACCGGTCGCTGGCGACGTTGGATTACTTCACGTCGAACAACTGGGACTTTGCGTCGGAGAACTCGCTGATGCTCACATCGGCAATGACGGAAGAAGACTTGAAAGTAAGACTGAGATGCTGCGATACTCATTCCGCAGCATCCCTACAGCATCCCTGCTGCATCTCACAGCGTCCGTCATCATCCAACAGCATCCCTCAGCATCCGCAGTGTCACACAGCGTCCGTCATCATCCAGCAGCATCCCTCAGCATCCGCAGTGTCACACAGCGTCCGTCATCATCCAGCAGCATCCCTCAGCATCCGCAGTGTCACACAGCGTCCGGCAGCATCCCCACCGCATCCCACAGCGTCCGTCATCATCCCTCAGCATCCGCAGTGTCACACAGCGTCCGTCATCATCCCTCAGCATCCGCAGTGTCACACAGCGTCCGGCAGCATCCCCACCGCATCCCACAGCGTCCGTCATCATTCCTCAGCATCCGCAGTGTCACACAGCATCCAGCAGCATCCCCGCCACATCCCACAGCATCCAGCAGCATCCCTCAGCATCCGCAGTGTCACACAGCATCCCTACAGCATCCCCGCCACATCCCACAGCGTCCGTCATCATCCCTCAGCATCCGCAGTGTCACACAGCATCCGGCAGCATCCCTACAGCATCCCCGCAGCATCCCACAGCGTCCGTCATCATCCTGCAGCATCCCTCAGCATCCCCTGCAGCATCCTGCAATCGCTCATCTCGCGCCACATTCGTTAACCTTCTGCAAATTAATCACGACTACTGATTGACGTATTTTAAACGACATACCTATATTTTATTCCTTTATTTTCACGAATCTTAGGTTTCGAGTTGTTATCACATTTAGTGTGATTCTCGGTTTTCGTGACTGATCAAGCAACTTAGTTGAATTTTTGGATATCTTGCAGCTGTTAGGCAAACTTTGCTATTGGGCTTGACGTTTGGCTTGCCATTGCCACGCACTGTTAGCAATGTCATGTTTGCATAACGTTGGCAATTGGCACTCCCGGTTCACCTATCCGCCTGGCATGGGGCTGGGGAGGGGCGGGGCTAGCTATCTCGCTGAGACGGATGGGTTGATTATTTATTTTTCCCGCAGGAGTTTAACTTCAGCATGAATGGCTTGCGATGGCAATCGTATTTGGATACCTATGTCCTCGGGACGAAGCAGTTTGTACTGAAGGAAGACCTAGCGGGATTACCGCTTGCCAGAAGACATCTTCTCAAGTAAGCGCTATAAATAATAAAATAAATACATATATATATATATAAATAATAAAATAAATATATATATATATAGTATTTTATATATTACAACATTACTTTTCGCAGTTCACACTCTTCTGAAAACAAGCGAAAGGGAAATTGAACAATTGTGTCGAGTAGAATGAACGGAACAAGAAATGCTCAGTAGAGTTTCATTAGTGCATGTAATATATATACATATATATATGTATATATATGTATATATATGTATATATATATATATATATATATATATATATATATATATATA